TGGGGAGCGGAGTGGCTAGTGAGCGGGGCACATGGGAAACTGAGGCACGATCTGCCGCCCAAGGCACCGCGCTGGATGCCAGGAGCACCGCCAGCTGGGCCGGGCTCCCCCGTGGCTCATACGGTGCCTGGCTCTAAAGCGGGGGTCCCAATCCCCCCCTCCGGCAGGGGGTTCACTAGTGGGTGTCCGGGGGCGACACGCCCGCCGTGCAGGGCATGCGAAGGTCGCCGTGTTCGTGTGCTTTCTGCCGCCACAGATCTACCCCCCGATCAACGTGCTGCCCTCCCTGTCCCGTCTGATGAAGTCGGCTATCGGGGAGGGCATGACCCGGAAGGACCACGGGGATGTGTCCAACCAACTGGTAAGCGCAGCACTGGGGGGGTGGGGGGGAGTTGTCCATCCCAGCCCCTCTCGCCTGCCCCGTCATACGCCCAGCCGGAGGCTGCCTCTGTTTTCCCAGCATGTCAACCAGGTCACTGCGCTGGTTTCCCCAGAGGAAGCACAGACTAGTGGTTAGGGTGCTAGCTTGGGACACTTGGCTCAGTTCCCTGCTGTGCCCCACACTCCCTGTGCATTGCCCGGTCTCTCTGCCTCAGTTTCTCATAAAAGAGGAGAGACCAGCCCCGCTTGCCTCACTGGGGGTAATCACGTGGTGCCCATCACCCTAGCGTCTGGGCACCTCAGTCCCCGCACAGCCCTATTGCAAGCTCCCCATTCACCTCCCCGCCCTTTCGGTCGCCCGCCCAGTACGCCTGCTACGCCATCGGGAAGGACGTCCAGGCCATGAAGGCCGTGGTCGGGGAGGAGGCTCTGTCGGCGGACGACCTGCTCTACCTGGAGTTCCTGCAGAAGTTTGAGAAGCAATTCATCGCGCAGGGTAAGGGGCCGGCCTCCCGCCGGGCAGCCCAGAGCCAGGCCCGTGGGCCCGACAGGCACGCAGAGCCCACGTGTGGGCCGCTGGACGGGGGTGGGCACAGCCGCAGCGAGCCGCTGGGTTTGCCAGCCGTTCTCCATCCTCTCTTGGGGCCTGGCCACTTTCCAGCCCCCTGGAGCATGGGTGCCCCCGGCTGTCTTTGGGGGGCTCCTTAGCCATTCTCCAGCCCCGCCCGGGGAGCAGGGCTCCGTATCCGTAACCCCCCAGGGTGTGTGTGACAGACCAGGCCAGCTCTGGGCACCTCTGAGAGCGTCAACTCAGGGAGAATTGCTCAAAACCAGGGCTCCATACGGCCCTAGACGAGACCTTTCCCAAACCGGCCACAAACCAGTCACGCCGAGCGCTTCAGCTGCCTATCTGGCCAGCAGGAAGCCTCACAAGCAAAACCCCTCAGACACCCTCGCTCTCCCTGTGCCACAGTCAGCCCCAGGCCTGCCCACGGTGAGAGGTTATAAAACCCGATCTCACCAACCCCCAACAGATCCTCCCGGTCCCAAAGAACCAGACGCAATTCTCGGTCAGTTTACACTTTGGATCTTACCCACAAGAGCATGCTGGGCCAACCCTTTAGCATCTACAATCTAAGGCTGCGTCTAGACTGGCAAGTTTTTCCGCCAGAGCAATCGCTTTAAAACTTGCCAGCCGTCTACACTGGCCGCTTGATTTTGCACAAAAGCACTGACGTGCTACTGTCCGAAATCAGTGCTTCTTGCGCAAATGCTTTGACGTTCCCGTTCGGGCAAAAGCCCTTTTCTGGAAATGTTTTTGCGCAAAAGGGCCAGTGTAGACCGCTAAGAACTGTTTTGCGCAAAAAAGCCCCAATGGCGAAAATGGCGAGCGGGGCTTTCTTGCGCAAAACCGCGTCTAGATTGGCACGGACGCTTTTCCGCAAAAAGTTCTTTTGCAGAAAAGCGTCCGTGCCAATCTAGATGCTCTTTTCCACAAATGCTTTTAACGGAAAAACTTTTCCGTTAAAAGCATTTGCGGAAAATCATGCCAGTCTAGACGCAGCCTAAAGGTTTATTAACAAAAGGAAGAAAAGGTGGAGAGTGAGGTTGTTAAGGAGAACACGTTACATGCATCGAATCACCCAGTTCTCAATACAGGCTCTCAGCAGAGAGGTTACAAATTGCTAGCTTGAAAGTCTCTGCTGTACACCCTGTATTGGGATGGGTCCATGAGCCTTCCCGGCTCTCCGTCCCTCGCAAGGCTGCATCTGGGATCAGTAGCAAGACTGAAGACAAGCTGGAGAGTGCCTCGTGGAATTGTATGTCCATTCCTGGTGTCTCTCACGTTGGAGCGGGTCACGTGGCCACGTGACCTGTCTGGGTTTCCCATGCCAGCAGCCATGAGGTACTGGCCAGTCTGCAGGGCCCCAGGCCCATGGAGCGCTCCCAGACACAGAACGTCTACACTACAACAGAGCCCATGTTCGCAACTCCGCATGCAGACGTCACACAAGCACACGAGTAGCACACATAGACTCAGTAGGAAATAAGCTTTCATCTGACACCTCACATGGCCCCCTTTGTACAGACTTTGGGGCGACCCCCCCCCCATGGACACAGCGGTGATCTGGCTGCTCCCTTTAAAATCCAATAACATGACAGCATGCAGCTGTCCAGCCGGGCCCCGGGTCTCTGCAGCCAGGCTCCCAATGCGCCTCTGTCCCTCTCCCCAGGCCCCTACGAGAACAGAACCATCTTCGAATCGCTGGACATTGGCTGGCAGCTGCTCCGCATCTTCCCGAAGGAGCTGCTGAAGCACATCCCTGAGAGCATCCTGGCCGAGTACTACCCGCGGGAGGCCAAAGCGGCCGGCCCTCAGCACACTGACACAGCCCTGTAGCTGCTGACTCTGCCCGGCCCGATCCTTTGCTCCGGGCCCCCCACCGGCCTCCCGTTCCTTTCCCCAGTGGCGGGGCGGGCAGCGTGATACTTACCCCACCCGCAGCAACTGTGCCCCTTGGCGCTGACCCCGTGTGCCCCCCAGCCCTGCCTCAGTTTCCCCATGGCATTCTCCAGCCTGCTCCGGCCGTAAATGTGACTGGCCCTCTGGTGCCCCTTGTGGGGTGACAGAGTCCCTCCGGTAATTGCAGCAAGATTTCCTCTTTAACCCCTGCCTGGCTGGGTTAACCCCGTTCACCAGACAGGCAGGGCTAGGATAGCCCAGCCTCGCAGCCCCGATTCAGCCCAGCACGGATGGCTCCTCGCTGCCTCTGTGCAGTGGTCCCCTGCCCTCTCCAGTCTTCCTGGCCGGAGGCAGAACTGAGCCCTTCCCCCAGGGACGGAGCCGGGGGCGACCGG